GAGGCGGGGCGGGGCGGGGTGGGGAGGAAAGGAAGGTAGGAAGGAAAGAAGGGAGGAAAGAAGGGAGGAAGGGAGGGAGGAAGGGGCGGGAGGGGAGGGGAAGGGAGGAGGGAGAGAAAAAGAATAAAGAGGGAAGAAGAAAGAAAAGAAGCAAAAGAATATAAGGAAGCATGTAAAGATACAGAAACATTCTAAATTCAGGTCTCGTAACATTTTTGTTTGAAAAAAAATCACATATTTTGTTGCTGTCATAGCTGTTTACTGCCTAGTTTCAGCCAGTAAACTGCTTTATTAACTGTTACTACCTACTAAAAATAACATTTCTCTATGGTGTTTCAAGTGTCATTCATACAAGAAATGAACTGGAATGGTGGCATCCAAAGTAACTCTGTGTCATCCAGTAGTGTAATATTTTATAAAATAAATTTATATTTTGTTTTTAAAAGATAAAATTATTTTCCACTGATAAATCTTTATCACTTCTTCTCTAAATGTACCAGAGGGGGCAAGGAATAATGATAGCACCTAGGGTTGTTTTTATCCAGTTTATTGAGGAAGAAGAAGAAAGCCTGATTAGATCCTAGTGCTCTAACACTGTGCTGGCTGCTTCGTAAACACTGTCATTATGTCTGATGTTTCCTCCTTTTTTGTTCCCTCCTTTTACTTTAAAAACTAACATTCAGGCCGGGCGCGGTGGTTCATGCTTATACTTCTAGCATTGTAGGAGGCTTAGGTGGGCAGATCACTTGAGGTCAAGAGTTCGAGACCAGCCGGGCCAGCATGGCAAAACTCTGTCTCTACTAAAAATACAAAAAAAAAAAAAAAAATAGCTGGGTGAAGTAGCGCACACCTGTAATCCCAGCTACTCAAGAGGCTGAGGCAGGAGAATAGCTTGAACCCGGGAGGCAGAACTTGCAGTGAGCTGAGATGGCACCACTGCACTCCAGCCTGGGCGACAGAGCAAACTTCATTTCAAAAAACAAAACAAACAGACCAAAATAACCCACCAATATTCGACATATTATAGTAAGCATTTGTCCAAGAATACATAACTATTAAATGCAAGAGCTTGATGTGAACCCAAGACAGAAAACATACTCACATGTTTTAATTGAATTATATTGGTAGTGACTTTTATCATGGATTATAAAGCTCCCAATTGAGACTTCCACAAGGCAATAGATTCCAAAGTAACCACGTAAACCTACTAAAGACATGGTTTCCTCTTGTATTAAAAAGAAAATGAGCTCTTATTTTATGCTAGATATTGGAGATAGGTAAAAGGAAGATAGAAGAAATACAGTGAGTAATAAAGCCATGTCCCTGACATTAAAAAAATTTAAACACAGGGAAGGATGTATAAAGGCACTTGCAAAATATGTACACACATTACTTACAGTTTTGTCAAGAATGCTTAATTATATTTCCTATTTTTTAAAAAGCCAACTCTGTAACTACAGAAAAGCTGTATATTGGATGGAATGGGATATAAAATACTCTTAAATGTATAACCAAGTGCTGAGCTTGCAAAATGGAAAGTCAATTTCCAAAGGAGATTGAAAAGGAGATTGGCGGATATATAGGTGACACAACAGAGAGTATATTACTAAAACATCATGTTCAAGGATATTTTAAACAAAATTCCGGGATTAATATAAAATAAGCATTGAATAAAGGTTTGAGATGCACGAAGAAATGCTGACGAAAGCCTGGAGACACATTTGCGAATTGCAGAAATCCAGACCCCTAAATCTTAAAAGATGAACTGGGAAATGTGATAAAGGACTTGCATATATGGAGAATTAGAACGCATATCTTGCATAAGCCAGAGGAAGAATGTGCTAGGAAAAAATTCCTGGCACCTTTAACAAGGCACTTCAGGACTCCCATAAATTATATCATCTAAATAAGAGCTCAAGCGAAAGATTAACTGGCATACAGTAAGGAAGCCTCCATGACTCAGAGCCAAAACAATCAAACTAGCAGAGGCAGAAGTAGACACTCAAAGACTGTCCACTGGCATTGTGAGATAGATAATATAAAATAACTATGTATCGAATACTCTAAAAGATTAAATTTTAAAATTATGTGCAATGAACAATAAACTAACAAAATAACCAACCATGAATTTGTTAAATAATAATTAAAAATATACTGATTGAAAAGAAAAATAACAAAGAAGTGAATATAGAAAAAAATTGATGTGAATATAGCA